AACTTTAATCAACGATTGAAACTCAGCTAAGCTGCTTCTTGGAGGAGAAAAATTGTTATCTAATTACAAGATGTCATATGTCAGAAATTAGTAAATCGAAGAAAATTTTTAAAATGAATCATATGGATTTAAAAACATCATTTAAATAATTATATAATTAATTTATTAGTTAATTATCTTAAAGATATATAGTTAGATTAATTAAAATTTTTCTATGTGTTATGTGTTTATTCTTTGAGATAATTTAGAGATAATATCTTAACTAAACCAATTAAGATTTATTTATTGGTTATTCAAGTTATCTCTAAATAAATTAAGATAATTTAAACATAATATTTAAATTTGACCACTTAAAATTTATTTATTGATCATTCAATTTATCTCTAAATAAATCAAAATAATTTAAAAATAAAATACAAATTTGGTCATCCAATTTATCTCTAAAAAAATTAAAATAATTTAAAAATAGTACTCAAATTCGATTATTTATAAGTCCTCATGATTTATTTTTAATTAAATTAAATAATTTAGAAATAATTCAAAGAGACTAAATTATCATTAAAGTTTTTCACCAAGCACTGTCCAAGCCATTTGATGAACCATAGAGAACAAGGGAGAAAAAAAAGAGATTCTAAACATCAAAGTCTCTAAAACTCCCACAAGTCTATGGCCTCCAAAACAAGGTAGTAAAATTACTTGAACTCATCTCGAACCGGATTATAAACTACCTAAACCCTATATAATAGGGTTAGGTACTTGCGAGTATCTTATAACAGGATATCCATTGATATTTCTATACCATATGGTAGTAGGTGAAAGACAAAAGCTCATAACAAATTATATGAGCAAACTTTCTCAATGTTCAACCAAAATCCTTTGTATGATACTTCTTCCTCAAATTTAGGAGAAGTTTCCATACAGCAACTTGCTTCCTTTAAAGAATCAAGTACAAATTGCCAACTCTATCATTCAAGGAACAAGATCGCTATTCAAGCAACAACTCCATTCCATCATCCCCTTGCCACAATGCCTCTTCAAAAGCAAATTATAAAGTAATGGTTGTCATGACAACGGGAACAACATCTCTTGAAGAACAAGTTGTGCTTTTGGCAAAGATTGTGGAATCTCTAACAACAAGCATAAAAGAAAAGGATGATCATTTTACCTTAATGATGGCAAAAATTAACAATCTTATTGGAAAGGCACCAATTGATCTTGGTCAAAATTAGTGCCAAATGTTCAAGAAAGTTATGAGAATTCCACCACAAAAGTGAAAAATAATCCCTAGCAAAAAGCCAATGAAGTGGTCACTCTTAACCAATTGAAAAAACTTATCAAGGAAGCCATTAAGGAACAAGTAGAAAGCGTTACTCAACCCTCTTACACCTATGCAAAACCATACTCCCAAAAGACTGATCACATGAGGACGCTAGAAATTATCAACCATCAAAGCTTTAACAAGTCATTTACCCTCGATTTGTGCATCTACGGGATGAATTAGGGATTAAGCTACATTCTTCAAGGCATTAAGTCTAAAACCTTTGAAGAGTTAGTTACTCGTGCACATGACATAGAGTTAAACATGTCTATTGCTGGAAATTGAGAACCTTCCTAATACAGGAAAGAAAAATCAAGACATTCTTAAAAAGGGCAAAACGTTGTCTGATATGTGTGGAAATGAACAATCTATAACTATAAACACCAAGGCCCTTAAAATGTCGATTAATTCAAAGAACTTGCAAAAAGCAAAATCTCCTCCTCAAACTAAAAGTAAAGGTAAGACCTCTTTGAAAGAAAGATAGGAAAAGCAATATATTTTTCTTGATTCAAATGTTTTAGACATGTTGGAAAACCTCTTGAAAGTTAAGCTCATTCAATTGCCAAATATGAAGTGACGTGAAGAAGTTGATAAAGTGAATGATTCCAACTATAGCAAATACCATCGCTTAATTAGCCACCTTACAAAAAAATGTTTTGTTTTGAAAAAAAAAAATCATGGGGCTTTACAGTGATGGGAAAATTGAATTTGAGGAAGAAACTATGTCATCAAATTTGACATCAGTAATGATTTCTCAACCTAATGTATTGAGTACAATTATTAAATTTGGATCTTTCGACTCCACGACTTGAATCCCAAAAAGCGAAAAAAGTAATTGATCTTCAAGAAAATGGGGGAAATACCTATGACCACACAAGTGAGGGTCAAGACGATGAAGCCGATGCAACTAACAATGCTAAGAAAAATTCTTAAAGTGCTATTATGCTTAAAACTACCCAAAAAGAAAAGAAAAGAAAAAGTCCATTAAATTGAAAATCTTTAACAAGACGACTTAGGCAAAAGTTAGGGTATAAAAAAAAATTAAACTACGTTATGACTTTATCTTTCATATTATAAGGTATGTAGGCAACTTGGTCTTATTGTCAACTTCATTCAACCCAAAAAAAAAATCTTGTAGATTGAAAATGAGTTAATTATTTACATTGATGAAGCTATCAAATTGACGAGGAAATAAAATGCCAAGATTGCATGACTCAAAGTTGTCTCATGGATGAACTTTAATTTCAATTGGTGTTAAGACAAACAAAAAAAATGTCAAGATTGCATGAGACAAAATTGTCTCAAGAATGAATTATAATTAATTCAATGGTGTCAAGACAAAATATGTCAAGATTGCATTGTCTCATGGATGAATTATAACTTTGATTGTTTCTAAGATTAGATGAGACAAAAATATGCTTAAGATACATATTTCTATAAAAGATTTTTAGCTGGTTATAAATCCTTTTAAGCATATCGATAACATGGCACGTACTCGTTGAAGAATGCTCCTCAAGTCAAGAATGTAAGCAAATGTTGGTGCCAAAACAAATTAAATTTCAAAAACTTGTCTACTTGTCACATTGTAATTGGATAATGAAGATTAAATTTCAAGATTTGTCCATTTGTCACATTCAAAATCATAAGTGAAGAAGTCTTGAGGATGCATTTGTAGAAGAAGAAAATTTGTTATCCAATTACAAGATGCCACATGTCCGAAATTAGTAAATGGAAGAAAATTTTCAAAAACGAATCATGTGCTACCATGTGGATTTGAAGACATCATTTAAGATAGTCATATAATTAATTATAAAATAATTAATTTATTGGTTAATTATCTTGACGATGTATAATTGGACCAATTAAAATTTTTCTGTGTGCCATGTATTTATCTCTGAAGATAATTTAGAGATAATATCTTAATTTGACCAATTAAGATTTATTTATTCGTAATTTAATTTATCTCTAAATAAATCAAGATAATTTATATATAAAATCTATTTTTGGTCATCCAATTTATTCTAAATAAATGAAAATAATGTAAAGATAATGTTCAAATTCAATCAATCAAAACTCAAAGACTCAGAATTTGGTCAATCAAAAGATCATTTATGAGTCAACATGCTTTATCTTTAATTAAATTAAATAATTTAAAGATAATTCAAAGAGATTTAATTCTCATGAAAGTCTCTCATCTAACACTATGAATAAAGTGCTCCTCCAAACCATGCGATGAACCATGGAGGAAGAGAACAAGGGAGAAAGAAGAAGATTCTAAAGATTAGAGCCTCCAAAACTCCCATAAGTTTAAGGGCCCCAGAAAAAGACCCTTAAAATGAAGATTTTAAAGATCCAAAGCCTTTCTGGTTTCCATAAATTTAAGAAGAAAGATCTAAAGACCAAAGCCTCTAAAGTTCCACTTATATAATAAGGAAGATTTGACGACCAAAGGCTTTTCAGAAGAAGATTTTGAATATCCAAAGCCTCTCTAAGTTCACAAATTCAAGAAGGAAGATCTAAAGACCAAAGCCTCTAGAGTTCCACATATCTATGAAGGAAGATCTGAAGATCAAAGCATCTCTAGAGTTTCACATATCCAAGATGGAAGATCTAAAGACCAAAGCCTTTCTAGATTTCCAATTTACAAGCCCAAGGCCTACAGAACTAAGATTCTAAAGATCAAAGCCTCAAGAAGGAAGATTTTAAAGATCAAAGCCTCGAAGGAAGATTCTAAAGGTCAAAACTTCAAAGGAAAATTTTAAAGATCAAAGCATTTAGAGTTCAATGAAATCCTTGAAAAAAATTCTGAGCATCAAAGCCTTAAAGGACTGAAGTTCAAAAGCCTCAAAGGAAAATTATGAAGATCAAAGCCTCCAAAGTTCAACCAAGTCCAAGAAGGAAGATCTAAAGATCAAAGCCCCTTTAGAGTTCCAACCCACAAGTCCTAGTCTCCAAATTGTTCATTTTCAAAGTCATGTTATTAAGACCTTTAAAGCGAAGTCTCCAAATTATTCATTTTCAAGATCAAGTCACAAGTCCCTTGAAATGAAGTCTCTAAATTATTCATTCAAGATCAAGTCACAAGACGCTTAAAGTGAAACCTTCAAATTGTTCTTAAGACCTTTGAAGCGAATTCAAGATCAAGTCGTAAACCCTTGAATCAAAATACAAAGTTCAAAGACCAAGTCGCAACAAAATTCAAAATCAAGTAATCATGACCCTCAGAGTGAAGATTGAAAAAATTAATTAGAGAAAATTTTTTATTATAAAAGAATACTAGAGATTGTAAACTCCATGTCTGATATATATATAAATAAATTTTATATTTGTATACAAAATTTTTCAAGTCTAAATTATTCTTCGCAAAATTTGCCTGTACACTCATTTTCAAGGAAAGCGAACATGGCTGCAGATTGGGTAAGCCACCCAATCAAATAAAAGGATGTGTTGGTCGAAATGGGTTGAACAATCTCCATCCTCTCTTACTGAAATTGGGAGGGGACTTAGGGGGAATAGAGATAGAAGATTTTATCATTTCGTCTGTTAAGTAAATATTGTATATCTATATTTTGGTTTCTATTAATGAAAATACTTTATAGATTGGGAAAAAAAATTATCCAGGGATAAAAAGAAAAATATAGGTTAATTTTGGAGCATCGGTAAATGGAATCAATTGATGATTATCACGTAAAGTGCATATATATATATATATATATATATATATGGATGCTGCTTTTATCCATTTATTTTGATACAAATACACTTATAGATGGTCCATTGCTTACTAATTTCCCATACACACTTCTACTAGACAGGTCTTAAAAGTTTCCAATTTGTATTGCAGCAACGCCTTGTATCTTGTCATCTTCCGAAATATAGTTGATTGGCATGAGGTTAAGAGCTGATTTCTTACCGACTGTTATAGTTACCTCCTCCTCCATATCAATCTCCCCCCCACTAGGTAATTTCCAGTCAAAATGGTAAAGGAGATTTGCAAGTGCCAACTCTATTAGTGCCGTTCCCATGTTCATTCCAGGGCAAATCCTTCGACCAGCACCAAATGGCAATAACTCAAAATGTTGACCCTTGAAATCAATCGGATTATTATTAAACCTCTCTGGAAGGAATTCTTCAGGGTTCTTCCAAATATCAGGATCTCGTCCTATCGCCCAAACGTTGACTGCAATTCTAGTTTTGGGGTAAACATCATAATCTCCAATCTTAAATTGGGACACAGTTTCCCTTGGAAGTAGAAGTACAGCTGGGGGATGCAATCTTAAAGTCTCCTTAATTATCATCTGAAGGTATAGAAGCTGATTAACATCATTATCTGTTACCTTTCCTTTCTTCCCCACGCAACGTCTAATTTCATATTGTGCTTTTTTCATGACTGTTGGCTTCCTGGCCAGCTCTGTCATGGCCCAGATCATGGTGAGTGCACCAGTGTCTATTCCAGCTAGGAAAATGTCCTGAGAAGCAAATATACATATAATATATATATAAATATATATATAAACAAACTTTAGCTCCAAGTAATAAGAAAAAAAAACTAGAGATCAAACACAGAGAGACATGGCTGATAGTCCGTTAAAAAAATTACGGCTTATACAATATGTCAAAGCGCACTCTTTTCTAATAGTTGTGCTGCGTTGTGCTAGTGATATTGGTAAATTTACTGCTGCTATCGGTGGAGATTGTGCGAAGGGTAACCTGATAAAGGCATTATTTAAATAGATGAAAAAAAGTTCGGATATTTACCATAAGAATTGCCTTTATATGATCTTTTGTAATTTGAATAGCACTATTTTCGGTTTGATCTCTCTCCATTCTCAGTAGCACATCGACTATGTCTTCATGCTCCTGCATGGTCCTTCCTGAATTGAGATGATCATCGATAACCTTCTGGAAGAAATCATCCAGCTCATTAAAGCTACTCTCAAGCCTTCTATGAAAACCAGTAAGCCAGTCAATCATCCAACCAAAATATGGGAGAAAATCTGATGCACAGAAGGCTCCCAACATAGACTTGGCCTCGTTGACCACTTTTTGTAACTTATCATTATCAAGTTCACTCCCCTGAAAAATCTTCCCGAAAGCAATCCTAAAGGTTATGCTAGCATGGAGCGAAAAGAACTCTTTGCTAAGATTTACCAGACTTCCTGAATTAGCTGATTCCGAGATTGAATTGATTAGGAAAGTCACCTCGTCTTCCCTGACAGATTGAAAAGATTGTACCCTCTTCATGCTGAAAAGCTCAGTAACACAGATTTTGCGCATCTCCCTCCAGTAATATCCATACGGTACGAAACCAATGTCTAGAAAATTGTAAGAAAGTCTTTTGGGGACAGCTAAGGGAGGTCTACTGCAACAGTCAAGATCATGAGTTTTTAAGACCTCTCTTGCAGTCTCAGCCGAGGATACTATGATGGTCGGTATAGCACCAAGTTGGAGAAGCATTATAGGACCGTGTTTCTTTGAAAGCTTCCATGTAGAGCGATGTGGCAATGCACCAAGTTGATGCAAGTTACCCAAAATGGGAAGCTTAGGAGGGCCTGGAGGAAGTTTACCCTTTTTTCTAATCTGTATCTTCTTTATAATTAGCAGCAACAAAGAGAGCAATAAGAGAAGGGGAAGCCACATGGCTAAGGCGAAAATGCAAAGCAACAGCAGCTTTTCTTGTTTCACTGGTATAACTTCAATGTTTCAAATCATTTATTTGAAACAGCTAACTCGAAGGCGATCAAGTTTTTGACAGGAACTCACGTTGGGTGACTTCCTTCAATGCCTTGGCCTTGCAGCAATTAGTTACGTGCTTAGACGTTGCTGTAGAAAACTTTGAAGACTCCACGCTTGATTCTGTGGACGATTTTTTTAAAAGAAATTGGTGGTGGATTGTTTTTGTTTTTACAAAAATCATACCTGACGTGGAGTTTGAAGGATCAGACCAAGTAGGCGAACTTGGGCCACAATTTTTCTGCTGTCACTGGCAATTGGAAGATGTCTACGGAAGCGTCGGAAACAAGTGGTCCCCGCTTTCATCTGACAATAATAGTGTAGCAAAAGGATTTAAGTGTAACTATGCCACCTTTAGTCAATACTCAAGAGCTTAATTCTCATACGGAAGCAGTTCTAATGGGCTCTCCAATTTTAATGGTCAAAAGCAATATCGCAAAACTTCCCCACACTATCATGGATAGCGGTTGCGTTTGCACAGGATAGTCATTTTCCCTGGAATATAATTACTGGGAAAAAATATTTTCAAAACATGTAAGAATATTACCGTGGTCGTCTCTTTCCTCTCATTCCCCTGGTGGTTATGCTAACGCTACCAACAACATTTGTTGTTAAACAAAGGTTTATCCAGAATCATAAGAGATAGTAAAATAAATAATTTTTATATTTTTCTATTTTTTAGCAAAATAACTTTTTATTGTAATCTTTTTAATCAAATATGATTTTTAAAAATTAAATTAAAAATTCTAATAAATAATTAACTTACATACCAATTGACATGTGCCTGTAGTATAACATACGCATTTCGTCAATTGACATTTAACATCATAATTAATAAAAATATTGATCGAAGAATCATTTCGTAATAGTGTTAAAAAGTATAAAAAATATATATTATTATTTAAATTATAAAGATCAAAAAGATTTGTGTGATTCAAATTTTATAAATTATGAATATAACTTACGCTTACATATTAAAAAAAAAGAATTGATCCATTCTTTTAAATTTAATAATTCTACTTAAGTCTTCGAATATTATCCTCCTTTTATCTTTATGTTGCTTGCAAAACTACATTGATGATAAAACACAAATCGAAGAGAAACAGAAGCATACAATAATCCCCCTTGTTTGCTTTAACTTAAGCAGATTGCCTCTCAGCACACATGTAATCAGTATAAAAAAATTCAATTAAACCGTAAAGGTTTCATAATTCTAAAGGACGCTTAAATTGCAGAGTTCATAAAATATCCCTACACCGCATTTCCAAGTTTGTTTTCCAGGAAAGTGCTATAAAAATTGGAAAATGAAAATTAAATACTCAAAAAATAGAAAATTGAATACTTAAAGGAAGAGAAGGAGCAAAACTTAGTATGTGTTTAGTTCTCCGAAAGTCGGAATGGAATACAGTATAAATGGAATAGCTATTTTGAATAGAATAAAAAAAAAATAATTATTATGTAATTCGGTTCATAAATATAGAATAGGATAAGAATTGTTATTTTGAATTATTTTAATATTTAATTGATAGGAATAGTTTTAATAATAACTAAGGAATACAAGATAAATGACAAAAATATTTTTATTATAATATTTAATTTTTAAATTAAAATATTTATTATTTTAATAATTTATTAAAAATATTAATAAATTGTTATTTGAACTTTAATGTAATTATTTATTTTAATTTATAGAATATTAATAATTTATTTTTCATTTAAAATATTAATAATTTATCATTAAAAAATTAACATCATTATTTTATTTTTTCTTTATTTTAAAAATATTAAAATATTACAATTTTTAATTTAATTTTTAAATTTAAAATATTTTTAACAAATTTTTATAATTTAGAATTAAAACTTAAACTTTTTATTTTAAATTTATTTTAATTTTTTCTTTTTTGTTTTCTTTTCTTTCTTCTTGTTGGTTGACCATTAGAGATGTGGCCAATCGACGTAAAGGAGCACTTATATGCACTCTTTGTGGCCGAATTAGGTTGGGGAATATCAACCGAATCTAGTCACGGAGTGTCAAATCTAGCAACCAGATCTAGCCGGGAAGCATCAAATCCGATGCTTCCCATGATTGATTTGGTTGAGGAGCGCCAAATTGGCACTTCCCATGGTCGAATCTAGTCGAGGAACGCCAAATCAATGCTTCCCATGGTCGGCACAGATGCCACCTCCACCAACCTCCAGTGGTAGAGGGAATGTAGAGAAAGAACGAAAGGAAAAAGATAGGGAGAGAGAAAGAAAACTTAAGAAATGAAAAAAGAAATTATACTATAGAGGAGTAATTTTTAAAATTTTAAAGGGGTATTTTCTCCAATCCAATTTTTTTCTTTTCTCACCAACTCAAAATAGCCATTACCTAGGGAAGCTTAGTAATGGCTATTCAAAACCCTCTTTGAATGGCCATTATGAGGAATGACCATCCAACCAAATGTAGTCTTTGGTCTATAATTGGAATAGAGGGGAATAATTATTCCATTCCTTTCAACCAAGCATGTTATTATTGTTATTTAGCATTTATACAAATACATTGTGCCTTACCTTAGAAGATGCAAAAACAATTAAAGAACATGCTATATGCGGTCTACTGCACTAGAGTCAATTACTTAAGTATGATGATTAAATACAGTTGCATTATCATCCGGTGATTCATTATAATGAAATTTAGGAATGCAAAGGCTAATTGGTTTAGGATAATATCTGCCATAGTTGGATCTATCTTAAAAGGTCTTTATTGTTGAATACTGATTTGTGAAGAATCATCGCTAGCGTTGCCTAGTTCAATCTCTTTGATCAATTCCATGAGTTTCTGAACCTAGTTCCTGGTGAGGGAAAACTGTGATAATAATCTCATTGTGCTCTCTGTATTCTAATAAACTTGAACAGAAATTATTGCATTATTCACAAATGGCATGCCCCTTTTCGCGTTGGTCTTTCTTTTTGTAAATTTGAAATCAATAAGAACCCTATATTTTGATAGCATTTATTTTAAGATGTCCAACCTTTCCACAATGAGAACAAAACATATCACCCTTGTTTCTTTTCCAAGCAGTCATTGTAGACACCTCTATGAACGGTTGTGACTGTATATGCAAACACCTTTAAGACTCCCTTCTCAACACCAAATTATATGCCTTATCTAAAATAGGAAATGGTATCAATTACACAATCTGAGTTCGTAATGCAACATATTCTTAGTTGCTTTTTTAATAGTGACAATACGATATAGGTCTATAATTTCTTAATTCTTCCCAAAGTCCCTTTAATTCTATGAATTAAGCATCCATTGACTTAGAACCCTATAAGATGCTACAAAGGGAGAATTGTAATTACAAATCCTTACATCATCTAACTATGAGAACCTCTTTCTCAATATTCTCCAAATGTGTGCAATAAAGTTCATGTAAAACACAATGGAACCATTCGGAACTATTGTTTACAACACTGTAGGATAAAAAACAATAATTGTAGATAATATCAAAACACATTTCCATTATCTAGGTTTTTAGTAGCAGTTTGAGTCCATTAGTCAAAATAGAAAAATGGAATAGAGAGTTTTCAATTTTTGTAACTTAATCCTCTTCTGTTTTTTCTGTTTGACTTTTTTTTTTATTGTGAAACAACTAACTAATCCTAAAAAATTTTAAAAAATAAAATCTAAAATCAGATTATTATATCATTATTTCTATTTTCCTATTACTAATAAAATAATACATAATTAACAATAAAGAAAAAATAAATAAATACCAAACAAAGCAAAAAAAAAAAAGTGCATAAGCCTTGTTCACAGCTTTTGGAGCTAATAATTTTATTTTTGCTGTATTGGTGAAACGCTGTTGTTTTCGCATAAAAAATAAAAAAAAAAACTCAGTCGCTCCTCCCCCTTTATCCCCCTCCCTCCTTCCCACTACAACTTCATTGGAAAAACAAATCTCTATCTCTGAAGCAACTATTTCTGTCGCAGCTGCCATGCAGAACTCCAAATCCGAAGAGCAACAGAGTTGAAGGGGAGCAATGCAAATACCCTAACCGATTGAACCCAAGAAGTAGAAACAGAGAGAAGAAGAAAGTAAAGAGACATAGGACGAGGGGACCAAAAGCAAACCCCTTCAAATAAAAAGCAAAATCTCAAAACAACCTATGTATCGAAGAGTGGGAGAGTTGCCACACTCAACTACAGGAAACCCAAAAACCAGTGCAGCTAGGATCCTAAAAGGAAGGGGAATCAAGGAGAAGAAAGAAGTAAAAGTTAAAAAATGCTCTCTAAACATAACAAAATTCGGAGTAAGTGTTGAATGCAGAGCAGCTATGTAGCTAAGAATGAATATAGTTTAGATAACAATTACCTAGCTAAGCATTGTTTAATAACAATTAAGCCATTAACAGAAGCCAGCACGTGAGGATCACGTGATCAGCTGCCTTCAATGACTTCCAACACAGGTATCATTCTAGAAGGAGATGCATTGGGAGTTGTAAAGAAGCCGGAATCGACAAATCCAGACCTCTCTCCGATTGGCATTTACGTTCAGAAAGCAAAGGTTAAAGTGACACAATTCCATGTCTGCAATATTGCTAGTACACGCGTCAAGGAAATGAAGCTGCTAAGCCAAGCATGGTTGTATTTCTAGGAATATCTTATTGGTTTTGTTGGACAGAGGAATGCCGTCACATAATTATGTCTTGTTCGAAAGTATATTCGCATGTTTCCTAAATCCTAATTCCATCAACAGAGACAGAAAAAGAGAGAAAAGACTAACTCGACCACGGTTAGAACCGCAACCATAGTTAACTGACCGTGGTCATGAGAAGAACAATATAAACTAAACCAACAAACGGTCCAGATTAACCCTCAGAACAAAATCCAATCACTCACGTGAGATTAAGCTCTATTTTCCCTTTTTTCTCTTTTTCTTTTTGTGTTTTCCATCTTACTGTGCAAAATTGAGAAACGCGCGAATTGATCTCCACAAATTCGAGAAAATCGGAAAAATAATTAGGGTTAGGGTCTCGATTGAGATGGAGATGGATTATTTTACAGAGTTTCCTCATCCTAACATGGATCGCCGTCCCAGGAAGAGGCCTAGATTAGCTCGGGCATTCAACCAACCTCAGCAAAAGGTAGCATTTTTATTTTATTTTTTTCAAATTTTATGGACGGTTAGTTAACTGTATGCGCTGTTAAGTTTCCTGCTAATTTGCTCTGATTCTTTAGCTGAATTATGCGAGATTGTCTCAGAAATGGTGAATCTTTTATTTTGGGGAGGTAAAAGTTCTTTTCCTTTTCAACTGGTTTTCTCGGTAAATTGATGATCCTTTTCATTTAGCGTAGGGGAATTATGATTTTTTCCTCGATAAGTCTATGACAGAGAAGCATGTTGGAATTTTGTTGTTAATTTCTTGATGTTCTTAATTATATATTGTTAATATCTTTTTGTATCTCAATTATGATTAGTTTTGATTGCATGAAATCTTATTTTCATTTGGGTATTGAAAATCCGTTGTTTTGGGCGGCCAACATGTTGCTCATGCTGAGACTTCAAAGTGGGAAATATTTGATGGAACGGGATGATAAGTTTTTCAGTTACTATTTATTTAGTGGAGTGTGAATGGAATGGCTGTGTGTAGGCTTAGTCAGGAATGTATAATAGGCAAGATGTTCGAAATGTGACGAGCTGTGGTCCTTCGAGGGCACTCCCGGATAATGCTAGTTTGTTTGAGAAGGGATTGGCTCAAAAAGTATCTCCCCCATGTCGAGATGATGACAAAGATGGACATTAGATTTTTGCACTTGGAGAGAATTTAACTTCTCGCTGTAATTACGCGTAATCACTTATTGAAGAGCTTCTTTTCTACATTTTGTTTTGTCTCATTTGCTTACTTCGTGAAAGACTATAACAGGCTAGATGATATCTGAGTGTATTGTAACATTGTCTTTGTCTTTTCTGTTGTCACTTTCCTTGATTTTTACCACCTAAAGTTCATTTAGTTTTTAGATTGCATTGATTTTCAAGATCAATCTTATAGATGAAGTTTCACATTGACATACAGTCCTAGTTTTACAGAAGTTAAAATCTCTTTTACTTCATTTATTCATAAAGTTTTGGAGTGGCAGAAATCATGGGAAAATCAATTTTTCAGCTGCCAATAATTCATTATTCCTGGTGGCCGAAATATATTTTACTAACCCTCTTCTTTCCACCTCCCAAAGTGAAGTTAACAAAAAAGAAGACAGCTGAAAAAGTTCTCATCTTGATCCTAGTACTCGCACAATCTATCTATTTTTTTTTTTTTCAGAAGCCCAAATTTATCGTTTCCCTTCTACCTCCCAGTGTTTTAATAAGATTTATGTTAGTTGAGCTGGAATCTTGTATTCCATTTACTCTTGATGCATCTACTATTTTATTTCTTCCCAAATTCAACCTTCCTTTACAGCTTATGGTTTTCTGCTCTTGTTTTTGCAGACAAGATCTACCGAAAAGTTGGTGAAGGTTTGTTTTTTAACTTCCTATCTTATTCAATCATCTGACAGGTTCATGTTTTGTCAGCACATCCATTAATGTTAATCTTGTGTGGTTATTCATCCTTTATATTCTACAGGCACCTTTGGTCAGGTTCTGGAGTGCTGGGACAGGGAAACTAAAGAAATGGTTGCTATAAAAGTAGTTCGAAGTATCAAGAAATACCGGGAAGCGGCAATGATGGAACTTGATGTGCTCCAGTTGCTTGGTAAATATGGCAGATATGGTGGCCAGTAAGTGTGATTTCTCATATAATTATCCCCATAACCTCTTGGTTTAAATGTTACTGTTATTTCAGTGGTTAAATGGATTAAATCTTTGCAGTTGTGTTCAATTACGGAACTGGTTTGACTATCGCAATCATATCTGCATTGTAAGTGTACTATTAATTTACAATATGCTCCCCACATTATAAATAGTTTAGAAGTTAAGACTTGCATGTGGATTTAAATGGCCTCAACAGGTATTCGAGATGCTTGGACCAAGCTTGTATGATTTTCTTTGGAAAAGTAATTATCGCCCCTTTTCAGTTGACCTTGTCCAGGAGCTTGGCAGACAACTATTGGAATGTGTAGCATGTGTGTAGATATTACTCCTGCCATTCTTCACTTTCTTTTTAACGCTGGTGGCAACAGTTTACTTGAGTTGCATGGACCAGTATTTTACCCCTAGGGACTTAATGGCTCTTTCTATTTGTCTATTTTAATTTTTAACTTTTGTGTTATGTATTTGTATATTTATTTATATATAAATTTACCCCTTGTAGCTTTATTAGTATTTAGGATAAACTCCACGTACACTCCCTATTCAACTTTTTCCATGTAGCACCTTGTGTTTTTTTACCCAATTAGCTCCCTTTAGATCAGTATTGTTCTCAGAAGGGGTTAAAATTATCAAAATACTCTTAAGTGTGAACAAATTGGCAAACGTTTGACCCTTTTTTGGTAAATTATATGGTGAAATTAATGATATAACCCCTTATGGGAACAAAACTTATCCACATGTGGTTAATTGCGAAAATATACAGGGTTTTATGTTGGAAAAATTGAAACCATAGGGGGTGTAAGTGGAGTTTAGCATTCTGTACTTTCTATGGAGACATTCATTTCTGTCTTTGTAAGATGCACACTGCATAGGGTAAAGCTATACTTTTAAATAGTAATAATTGCTTATATCTGATTGTTATTTGCTTTTGCTTATTTGTAACAATATCCAGTTACGCATGATTTGCGTCTCATCCATACTGACTTGAAGCCTGAGAATATACTTTTTGTTTCCCCAGCATATGCAAAAATACCTGACTACAAGGTATATTCTGTAATCTTTCTAAAATAATTCTTGATTATTTTTTCTTTGTTGATCTTTTAGATGTTGCCAACATAATGTTCTTTGTTTGCAATCTACCCATTTCCATTGCCAGGGATGGCTGGTGTTGATATTATCAGTAATGATCTTTTTGTGTTTGTATTCTTTTCTTAATCTATTATAACAGTTTTATGTCCTGTTCAATAGAGGGAACTTGCTACAAGGGGTTGCCAAAATCAAGTGCCATCAAGGTTATTGATTTGGATAGTACTGTATATGAGCATCAAGATGATAACTCCATTGTCTCCACAAGGCACTATCGAGCACCTGAGGTTGTTCTCGGTATGCTAATATTTTCCTTATCCTGTCCTCGTGTCATCAATCTGTGAGCCATACTGAGCTTATTTCTCTTTTCAGGATTAGGATGGAGTTACCCATGTGACATATGGAGTGTTGGTTGTATCTTGGTGGAACTGTGCTCTGTATGTTTATTGTTATAAAGCTTATTATTGCAAATTTCAGATGCTAGATGGTAAGAATGGTACAAATATACTTGTTTAGAGGGAGAAGCTTTGTTTCAAACTCATGAGAACTTGGAGCACCTTGCCATGATGGAGAAGGTTTTGGGTCCATTGCCTCAGAACATGTTAAAAAGAGTGGAGTTTGTGTATTTATACTCTCAGTGCTGCAAAATCATTTTTCTTATAGTCTTGGTTCTTTTTGTCAAGTCGGCATCCTGAGAAGTATGTCAAAAGGGGTAGACTGGATTTACCAGAGGATGCTACCTCAAGGGAGAGCATTAAAGCTGTTTTGAAGTTGCCTCGTCTTCAGGTGTCTTGTTGACTTGCATGCCGTAATCAGAAATTCTTATGATGATTATAATGAACTTGTGTGTATGCTATCATCATTCTGACTCAAATATATATTTTCTTCTGGCAGAATCTGGTGATGCAGCATGTAGATCACTCTGCAGGGGATTTGATTGACCTATTGCAAGGTGTTCTTAAATTTGACCGTTGCAGTCGATTAACTGCTCATCAAGCCCTCAGGCATCCCTTCTTCACCAGAGATCATTGCCTGAGATTCTTAAGGGTTTTATTTTTTTATTTTTTATTTTTTAGTATTTTTCTTCAACGCTGGTTTTTATATTGCTTGCTCAAATTGTGTAGATTTGGTCCAGGCTTAGGCAAGAGGGCTATGTGGTTGGTGATGAATTCTGCGTGACTCCTTTAATAGAGAAAAGGGCGGACCGGGATTCTTGGGTCTCTATAGTTTTTTGTTAGCTTTGTATTAGCTAATAGAGAAAAGGGCGGACCAGGATTCTTGGGTTTCTGTAGTTTTTTGTTGGAAAGGCATTCTCCCCTGATCCTTGTAGAAGATGTTCCGTCTTAAATTGTATGGGAGATGGAGAATGGAATTAAAAAAGAAATGTGGATGAGACTAAGAAAAAGAGAGTTGACCAATGGGGTTGATTTCTTCTTAAATTTGCAAAATTGAGTATGATATATATGAAACGGAAGTGTTTCGTTTTGAAACAAGTACAAAATTAATTTCTGATATTATTAGAAAGTTTTGAAGCAAAACTAAAAGAAGAAAATAATGACAATGGAAATGATTTATCCTCACTGTTTGGTTCTGCATCTTTTATCTCTTAAGACCCCGGTTGGAGGGCTGGACACCATGATGCTACAACGGCCATGCAACCAATACGAGTAACTCCAGACGCTTCCGAAATTGGATCGCGCTCGAAACTCCCCCTTGACTGTAAACATGACTCGGTTGTTCTGAATCTGCTTTTGAAGCAGCAGAGTTTCTTTCACTGAAAGCCTAACCTGACTGGTTACCATATGAATATTTGCAAACATGGACTGACGTCTTGCTGCGGAGAAAGGTTCGATGTATTGAGTAGCAATCCGGGTATTCTCGAAGTAAAGATCAAGGTACATGGAACTGAAATCCACGCGCACCTTCTTGTTTGGATTTGTGAAGTTTGCAAGCATGGTAAGATCAGCATTTAGCAGATAACCCATGTCGAGATAGGCTGCATTCAGGGTGACGCTAGTAACATCAAAGCGTGGACTACGTGGTCGAAAGACGAGATAGACCACCAGAACAATTAAGCCTCCTATTATTACGGCAAGCCAAAAAATTATACAGAAAGCTGCTGCAAACCATGTTACAGGTTTGGTTCGACGGACTCGCGGAAGAAAAATACTTGAGTGGGGCCGATGTTCATGGGGTTGCTGGCCCTCAGGTTTCGGTGTCATTGACCCTCGGGTGCTTTCACCCTCCTGCTGTATCAATGACGCACGAGGATGTTGGTCTTGAACCTGGGGTTGCATCCCCACTTCCTTACGCGTCCGGCTGCGTTTCTGTTTTTTTGGGGCTGGACCTTGAACCGGTGCTCTTGGCGCCCAAATTCCTAGTGGCTCCGGCTGTTGGGGTTGACGATGTTGCGGTTGGCGACGTTGGTCTTCGTGATGTGGCGGCGGCACCCATACATGAAGTGGCGGGTGAGGTTGGTCTTCATGATGTTGTGCCGGCCGAGACGGACCAAGTGGGTAGGGACGTTGGTCCCGAAGATGTCTGGGGTGCAGACGTTCGTCTTGAGGAGGTTGCAACTCCCGTGGACCACGCGGCGGAGGACGTTGGTCATGATCCCGTCGTGATCTCAACAAAGCATTAGGTAGATGATCACGTAGCTCTGGTGTGAGTTCTTCATCAGGACCAATGAAATGTGGGTTGGTTTCAACATGCTGCCGAGCCATTCTAGAATGAAGTTATGACCGGCGATGGAAGTAGGCCAAGGGAAATAAGAAGCATTAGATGCTAGGCAGTTACGAAAGAGGATGACTTCAAGGGAACTTCATGTAGGAGGATTCATGTCCAGGCAAAGAATCAAACATAAACTGAGTACGGGAGGCAAGTAATCTTTGGAGATGATTCCTTTTCTAAATGCTCCGTTAAGGCAGGGTCCCCTCGGCTAACTATTCATTTATATTGATTGTGCCCCAAAATCAAATAATCCAGCACCCGAATTAGATTCTCGCTACTTGGAACTTTGCCAAAATGTCAGAAAGTTGCTCTGATTCCAATACCATAAATTAGTTTTTGGGCATGGCAACACTTTTTCTTTTCTTTTTTTTTGAAAGTTAATAATGAATTCAGATCAGAGAAAACCAAACTGGTTTATCTCTGGGAACATGGCAACACTTTTATGCCAGCTATCTTGATCTTCGTGGTGACAGCTCCATTTTTGGAACATATAATAAAATCAATCCCGCATAACCTTTTTTTAACTCCTAATTCTTCCCAAAGAATTAATTTACTGGTTTTTCAGTACGAAAACAAGTATTAATTTAAAGCATGCACTCTTGAATGTGGCTGAATTCTTATAATTCTTCTTGAAGCTCAGCAAAGTGATATACAATGTCCTATTTAGATGGTAGAAATAGCAAAATAAATCAACTTCTTTTCTAGCATAGAACAGTTGGCCTTCAGACTATAGTGCTCTTGTTATGACATGGTGTTATAATTAGCAATTGGTCTTAAAACTTGGAAGACATCGAGTTCAGGCTGCAAGTTTACGAACCTTTCCAATATCTTTAGCTACATGACCCGCTATTTTTGAAGATGCAACTTTGATTTATGAATTTTTCAAGATCATAACAATCTTCTGACTTCTGGATTGTCAAACAGCACCCGACTGCAATCCAGGAATCTGGGGAAATTTTTAGTCCATTCCTTTAATTTTATTTATCCTCCTTGGAGACCTGGACGAAAAAGGTGGCAACTTTAGCTTCGATAGAAGAGTCATTTGGTAATTTTGTGCCGAATTTATAACTTGTTAGCAGTTATTACATACTTTTCCAATCCATCAGAAAATTATACTGAACAGAAAAATGAATTAAAAATAGGCAGCCTTCCCAAACAGGTCAGATATTCCTCCACCCTCCCTCTTCTTCCTTTCCCTCTCGAAAGATCAACAAAAAATTGGAGGAAGCTAAATGTGAAGAGCTACCTTATTTCGATTTCTGGCTCAAGTTAGCCTCCCATTTCAATTATTAAAAGTGGCACACCCTGGATGGATCTGAAAACTGTCCAGGGCCCTGTTGAGATGCTGCAAAACAAAACTATAAACATCATTAACAATTATTCATAACAAAAATACAGGATGAATAACATCTTATGAAAAATAAAATAGAAAATAACAGAGAAATATACTAATACCCCAGGTCTGAAGCGAATGATCAACAGTAAGCGCATTTCAATGTATGTGTGATTCATAAAGTTTGGTTAATCTTCTCGGATAAGGGGGGAAAATCTGAAATCCCAGCATCACCTGATCACTGATCAGCTCTTGACACCTCATTTTATTCCCATTGCAATTATAGATATTACAGATATCACATTTGGTTTTCCCTGTATTATGGCATGCCGCTCTATATTAGTTGTTATCAATGGGAGGGGAAAATGAGGTTGAAGACCTTTTATAATCAATGGATTTATATTTGATGCACTGACAATTTATAGAAACTATACACTATCAGCTCACCAAATACTGTTAACTAATTAATAAGGTAAAACTAAAAATCTTTAAGGACTTAAAATTAAATATTAATAATTTTCCTTAAAAATACATAAAAAATAAAAAAAATCATTTTTACCTCTTTCCTACTCCCTCACAACCGTTCTTTTCTTCTCTTCTTTCTATCTCTCTCCAACTCCATCATCTTCTTCTTCTCTTCTTCTTTTGGCAAAATTGTGCAACAATAGGATAATTAAAGATTTCAAGGTAATTTCTAGTTGTTGACCATAGTGATATATTTTTAAGTGATTTATATAAATGAATTCCTATTCTTTCAACAAAAACCCAAAATCCCCCTACCAAATTCCTCAATCTCTCTCTTAGAGTTTCAACAATTTCTCTCTCTTAGGGTCTCAGAAAGATACAGCGTTTTGGTTTGAGTTCCTATTCTTTCAACAAAAACCTGAAATCCCCCTACCAAATTCCTCAATCTCTCTCATAGGATTTCAGCAATTTCTGTCTCTTAGGGTTTCAGAACAATTTTATTTTGGATGCTTGATGAAGAACAAGAAAATAACCTACCATAAACCATGAAATAGGATTATCATAACCTTTGATATTAAAAGGATATTTATACACATAATTACAAAATATGAGATGTAAGATATCATTCTTTTCCAGAAGGACAACAGTTGAGCAAAGTTAAAGAACTTACCATAAAACATGAAGCCTGCTCCACTTATCCATTGCCCCCAAAACGAAACAACAATTGGTCAATGCATAGATTCGCCAGTGAGACAGATTCCAACTGAAGCTAAAAGATGGGGAAAAGGGGCAGGGGAGTATAAATATGTCAAATAAATTATCTGAATCATGAGGAGAAAATATTTATTAACTTCGGAGCGATGTAACATACAATTCTGAGCTCACAGCTTTTGGAAGCATCCATTCCAATTTCAAGGATGGCATACCAGAGTTTCACCTACAATACACAAGCACACAGAAGGATATTGACTGGTATGAAGTAACACACAAAGGAGAGTATCAAACAGAGAAATTTGTACTATGGCCATATTGGGCACTTATATTGATGCTACAACCATGCTCTTACACTTTCAATTTACTGAGACATCCATTATTTCCTAACAGCAATCTTCTTATTTTCCCATATAACCAGTAGAAAGTTGCCTGCTAGTCTATAATTCACCTATAAGTATATTCAAGAAAGAAAACAGCACAAACCTGAGATTTATTTTTTGCAAGAGTCGGCAGGGAAGGGCAAAACACTTGGCAAGAATAGAGGACCAACAGGAGAGCTTTAACCAAGCAATCCATCTACTTTTATGGCGATTCAACAACAAAACCAAATACTTCACCTGAAAATACATAATTTTATCGTTAAAAATGTGGCAAGATCAGTTGCTCAAGAAAATATAAAAGTGCAATGAAAATTGCAAAATAATCAACCTCACATTAAGACTCCGCCAACAGACACACAATTCATTCTACAGATGCAATAACCATCATTAAGCTGCTCTTAAACAGATTACTTTAAGCAAACTTTCTAGCCAATATGCGAGCATGGGATTAATTAATGCACAGTGCCATGCGATAGAACAAAACTTTGCAACATGGTGGCTTGTAATAATAATGCCACATAATAACTTCTATTGTATGTGTAATACAACTACAACAGTTATAACTAGATGTCAAATGAAAATGCTACCTGCGATGCAAAGTCAAAAGTTTTCAGGCTACATATTAAGTGCATTTTAGAGTGTCCAGTAGCTAGTTTCTAAGCTTACAGAAGTGTTGCAAACAAAGCTATAGTAAAATTAGAATCAGCTAGGCGGATTTGCATGAATGATGGCATTGAGTTCTACTAGTAGTGTCAAAAAATATATATCATTTACACCACACGCCGCTCTTAGAGCAAATCATCAAGTACTTTCCATAGCAAAAAAAAGAGACTCTCATCAAAAGGACACACATGGAAGGAAATAATAGAATTTGAAACTCAAAATACACTTTTCAAAAAAATAAAATGCAAAATACTACCGAGTTCATTCAGAGTCTACTGAATGGATAGCATTGATCAGTGTCTCAGAAACAGCTCCATCAAGAGTAAAACCCTTCTCCATCATCTGATCCCATACTTTGCAAGCCTTAGAGAGATTCTTTTCCCGTATGAGCCCTCCAATTATCAATTTGAAAGTAACCTCATCTGGAGAGAATCCTCCAGTCTGCATTTCCTCATAGAGATGTATGGCTTCACTTACTCTGTTAGACTTGCAAAACCCATTTATGAGCACATTGTATGAAACCACGTCAGGGTTAACTCCCTGCTTTATCATGTCATCAAAAACACTATGAGCCATCTCAACTTTACCATTTTTGCATAGGTGGTCAATAATTGCAGTATAAAAAATACAATCGGGTAACAAACCCATCCCTGACATCTGCTCAAGAAGTGCTTTTGCTATATCAGAACTACCTTCAATAAGACAAGCATTTATAAGGGTCGTGAAAGTCACCACATCAGGTGCAATCCCCTTCCTATCCATTTCCTCAAACAGCTTGTAAGCCTTTCCAATCTGACCACCCTTACAAAATGCTTTGATAATTGTATTATAAGAAACAGTATCAGCCAACCCATTTGCTTCCATCTTGTTCACCATCAACAAATATGCTTTATCTGGCCTATTAGCATTACAAAACCCTTTAATCATCTGGTTATAACCATAGACATCAGGTCCTCTCCCACTCCTCTCCATCTTCTTCAGCAACTTTGCCGCCTCCTCCAACATAAGCTCGTTACAACAATAATTCAACAACACGTTATATGTAACCAAATCTGGCTCACACCCGTTTTTTGTCATAAACAACTTTATTGCCTGTGCCTTATCAATCCTCCTAATTCTACAAAACCCACTAATCAGCACATTATAAAGCAACGTACTAAACTCAATATCCCCACCCTTAATCACCTCAACAACAAGCTCATATGCCAAATCAACCTTCCCACCATCACACAAGCCAACAACAAGCGCACAACACGCCTTGTTATCAGGACGAAAACGTTTCCCCACCATTTCCCTCCAAAACCCAACAGCATTATCAAACTTCCCAGCTTTACACAACCCATCAATCATTATTGTATACGTTACAACATCTGGGTCTCTCCCTTTCTTAACCAAGCTATGGAAAACCTCTAAAGCTAACTCTATCTTTTTTTCTCTACACGAAAGATTCAAATAAATGTTAAAAGCCCAAATATCAGGAACATAATTCAATTTATCCATGTCATTCAAAAGAAGCTCAATGAAATTAAAGTTTTTGACAGAGCATAAAGCGGAGATAAAGCGAGAGTAAGTGAAGGGAGTTAGAGAGAAACCCTGAGGGAACATTTGGAAGTAGTAATATTCGGCTAAGTCGAAGCGGGAGTTCCGAAGCAGGACGCCAATGAAGCGGTTATAGTCGAGGCCGAAGACGCGGCAATCTGATTGGGTCATTTGGTCGAACATGCTGATGGCTTGGTCGATGAGGCCGTTTTTAACGAGTCTTGAGATGTGGGCACGGTATATTAGGCGGGGCGCGCCCAGAGCGTGATACATATCAGAGGCAAAGGCATATCAGATGGATTTGGACGGATTGGGACCCGACCAGAATCGATGTGGGAGCCTTAGAAAAAAAAAGAAAGAGAGAGAGCAGGCGGGTTGGAGGGAAGGAGAGGAAAACGTAGGTGTTTATGGTTTTTTCGGCTAGGGAGGAGAGTGCTGCTGGTTCAAGTGTGGGAGAAAGGGGCGTCGATGGTTCCGCCTTGGGTTGGAGGCCCAAAGATTATACGTATTGGGTTTATTACTGTTATTTGGATAGATTGATAGAGGGGATTTTTAGATTTAACCTATCGCTACTTGTTACTGGTCTTCTTATTGGACTGGGCTTTCTGATTTCCAAACTAAGTTTTCAATTTTTTTTATTATATATAAGGGTGAAGATTAACTAGATCTTGAGTTATATTAATTAAGATTTAAAAGTGCAATCAACTTTCACTCAAGGATTTGATATAATAATTGGTGCAATTTTTTTATTTAAAAAATTAAATTTAAATTCTTCATTCTCAATATCAAAAAAATTTAAAAAAAAAGAATAATCAAGTTGACAATGTCAAACTAGGTCCCTTAGTAACCTTAACTAGAATTTCATAATAATAACAATAATAAATATTATATTTTTGTTAATTTTAATTTGAACTATATTTTAAAATATTTAAATATTATTATTATTTTAATAATTAAATAAATCAGACAAAAGAAGCTCAAATTTGGTTAAAAAAGAAGTCTCAATAAATTTGGTTCGTACATGATATGGCTCAACCCGGAACACTTCTACTTGAACTTGAATAAAATTTATTTTTCTATTAAAGAAATGATTGATTTACTCCAATTTAACTTAATCAATTTTAATTATAACTATTAATTGAAAGAATTGAATTTGAATTTTTTTTAAAATATCTCCAATTTAATAAAAAAGAAACTTGCAATTGATGACTTATTTAATTATATATATTCGTCTTTTGTACATAAAATAAAGTATAAAATTTAAAATTTGTGAAGCTCCATGAAAAGCTCGCTGGCAACTTGATTGGAGCATAAAACAAGAAATCAATTTGTTTGACTAGTTTATTTGAATAAACTGATTGAGCCCAAGTATTCATAAGTCACAAGTTGAAGCGTTGAACTTAAGAAAGTCATGAATAGGTTGGACTCGTTTACACCTTGAATATTAGAAAAAGAGAGCATTAATCATTTCTAATCGTTTCATAAATAAATAATAATATCCAATTATATAAAATGTTCACTTCGCATTTTGTCAATTAAAATTTGCAAAAATATGCCAGGCAAAAGGTAAATATGTCAATTTTCGTAATTTTAAAAACAATGAAAACAGTGGCGGAGCAAGGTATTAACAGTAATCATCCTTCAAATTCTTAATTTTTAATTTTTTTTATTATATATATAATTTAAAATATATTAATATATAACATTATATAATTACCTTTTAAATCACTTTTTCATACAAAACTTTAAATCTACCACCGAATAGAAAGCTACTCAAAGACGTCGGCATGAAAGCTTCACCCACTTGCTGGAATGCTTACAAAAGAAAATTTCTTATATGATGGGTACTAAGATGAAAGGCACCTACACATGTTTCCCCAATTATTTAGGCAATTAACCGACAGAAGTGTTGAAGCCATGATTTAAGAGCTGATGCCATCTCTTTCCCTTAAGCCCTTACCAATATTGTCTCAATCTCATCCTTTCCTCTCAAAAATGATCTCTTCCAAATTAAGACTAAATGGCACAATTGTGCTTAATAGTACTAATTAGCATAGGGAATATTCGTCTTGCACTGGCAGAAGACAAATCCTTTTGCATAAATATATTAATATATTTTATTTTGTTAAGAATCTCTTTCTATATATTGACAACAGCACTGTAGTTGAATTAATCAGTTTTTGTTGCTTGAATTTTAATTATTGTGTAATATATTGACTCAAAGTGTAACCTGATTAATCAGTTGTTAATATATAATTTTCTCTTGTCTCAAGTTGGAAAACCTTTATCTGGTAGGTAATAATTTTATGAACTAAACTTTGAGAACTCGTTCAAACTTCAAAGGTGTTTGGGTTTTCAGCAAATTGTGTGGTTTGAACAAAAGCCTAATGCTGCGAAATTAAGCACACCTTTGAAACAATTGGCAACATACCAAACTCACCCGTTCTTGTTTTATTTGGAAACATTATTCCAAAGTCCTTTAGTTGTTTTTGAACGTGTGGGCGTCAGCGAAGCAATGATAAAGCAATATTTTCTTGTTTGCGCAGTACTTCTTTGACCTTCGATTTTCTTATCCACTTGTTTATGTATTTTATATAATTAAATTTCCGGCGTAGCTTACCTTGACCGAGCTAAATAAACGACCACGTTTTTATAATTTAGACCATGTACCATATGCTCAAATGAGTTTGAATTGTATACTATTTGAATTATATTTCCATCTCGTTGTTCGCCCATCATTGTTTAGCAAATGAACCTACCTCCCCCAACGACCACGTTCAACTTCTTCCCCTTTTTTCTTTCTCGTGTTATATTTCAGATGGGAAATAGTCCCACCCTGGCAAATTAATAAGCCTAGGTAGCCAATTCCCAATAGCTTGTATGTTATGTACGTTTAAGTAAAATAAAAAATGTTAAAAGTTTTTGTGTTGATATTTTTTTGTCACGTCAATTTTGTTTGGAGTGTAAGTTTTTTTTTATATATATATATAAAGAAAATAGCAAAGTGTGAGCTTGAACAACTCCACTTTCAAAGCGAGAGGGTTGGTAAAGTGACCAACGAAAGCGTATCTTAGGTTAGATTAGATTCGACGATTTTCGTCTTGCACTGCAAGAAAACATTTAAGTCTGGTGGAAAACTTCGGTCGATGATGCCCTCCACTTGCCAACGGAATATCAACACACTTTCCATAAAATAATTTTATATTTTTAGAGGTATTTTCTACGAATATTTTTAATAAAAAAAACTTTGTCAAAAAATTGTCGATAAAGATATAATTTCAAATTAAATAAATTGACGTCAACATTCTCAACGAAAATTTCTGTTGATATAATAGGTTTTCATCAATATTTATTTATAAATTTTTAATAAAATATTCCACTAGTAATGATCACAACTAAAAAAAATTCAACAAAATCAATAGATTTTCAATCAAATGAATTTTTAACTTTTTAAATATATAATTAATAAATTCCCAACAAAATTTTTTAATGTATTAACTAGTATTATCGACAAAAACTCGTCAATAATACTCTACATGTACCAATGTTGATGATTTGATGAAATATTCCATCAACAATTCTATGAAAAAATAAAAAAAATTATTTTTAATGAAAAATTTATAAAAATTAGTTTAGGGTTGAAATACATAATTTATTTCTCTTTCACGTTTCATATTAACCCAACAACCCTAAGGTGGTGTTTGACACATTACAATGCAATGTGATTACAAAGGAGAAAAAATAAACATTACAGTGTTTGTATGTAAGCAAATATATATAAAATGTAAGGAAGATAACATTACAGTGTTGTTTACAAGTACTCTAGTGGAATGTAATGTTAATTATCAAAATTACCCTAATTATTAAAATATAAGTTTAATTATATTTATATTTATTATTAATTTTATATAATATTTTCTTAAATATATTTTTATATCAATATTATTTATTTTTATTTATTATTATAATATTTTATATTTTATTTTTAATATATTTATATTTTTATTATTAATTTTTATATAATATCATTTCTTAAATATTTTTAATGTCATATATTTTATTTTTATTTATTATTATAATATTTTTATATTTATTTTTAATATATTATATATTTTATTATTAATTTTTATATAATATCAATTTTTAAATATATTTTAATATCATATATTTTATTTTTATTTATTATTATAATTTATTATTTTATTTTTTATATATTATATGTTTATTATTAATTTTTATATAATATCATTTCTTAAATATATTTTTAATGTCATATATTTATTTATTTATTATTATAATATTTTATATTTTATTTTAATATATTTATATTTATATTATTAATTTTTATTAATATCATATTTTAAATATATTTTTAATGTCATATATTTATTTTTATTTATTATTATAATTTTATATATTTATTTTCATTTCTTTAATATATTTTTTATATTATATATTTTATTTTAATTTTTTTACCTATATTATATAAATGTTAATTTTTTATATTTTATTTTTATTTTAATTTTTATCTTATATTATATATTTATTTTAATATTTTATTTTAATTATATATATAAAATATTTTTAATAAGGTAATAAATTTGAAGGGTAAAATTATCTTTAAGAACATTATGAATAATGTGTTAATGTAATGTGATTGGCATTGCAATCTTACATTGCATGATCTGTTACAAAACAAACACTGCAATGTAATTTAATAAGCCACATTGCAGTAATGTACTTTACATTGCAGTGTACCAAACGGACCCTAAAATCCAAGTCGCTTCCTCCTCCCTCCGCTCCACCCCACTCCACTCCACTCATCCCTTCCTACGCCCCCTTTCCTTTTAGTTTTTCGGCTCGACATTGGCGACTCCACCTTATCTCTTGCCACCATGGATCTCTCCCTTTATTCCTTCGACTTCCTATTTTCCATCTTGTTTTTCTCTACTTTTCTTCTTTCCACCCTCATCTTTTTCGGATTTCCTCATCTTTGTTTCACCTCTCTCCCTTTCTCCGTCTCCTCATCCCTCCGTCATGCTACATTTTCTCTCGCCCAACAACTGTACACCCACGGTGGAAATTTTTCCTTAAACCCAACAAGGCATGGTCAGCTTGGGAAAGCTAAAGGTTGTCATAATAAATATTCATTGACTCTGCTTTGCTCTTTGTCACTAAAAATGTAGCTCATTATTTAGGGTTAGAGTTGAAATTGGACAATGTTAAGATTTGACACCTTTGTGTGTGTGTGTGTGTAAAAAGAAAATGTAGCTTTGTAAGGTTTTTGTGTTTGTTGGATTGTGGCTGCCTATGCTGCTATGGCATGAGCAGTGGAGCAATTGGGTGGTGGTTCCAGACTGTGAAGGGCTGCTACTACTAATTTGCGCTTTAAACAATTTAGAAATTAAAAAGGGAAATGGAGTTAAAATTGAATTTAGGACCAATGTGATAGAACTCTTTCTTCATTGAGGGGAAAGAGGTGGTTGGTTTGATATTTGGTTGTTTGGTTTAAAGCTAATTTATGCTAAATCATGCAAAATTGTTTTATTACACACACCTATTCAGAAGTTAATGTGAACATATATTTTTTCTACCCAATCAATTAAAAACTTTGTCATTAACACAAATCAATTAATCAATTAATTTAATTAATAATTTAACAAATCAAATGATAGTAATTAATCAATTCAAAATGTATTAGAAAATTTAGTAAATTTTAAAAGTATTTACATTAATTAAAATTTTATTAAGTTAATTAAATAATTTAACTAATCAAATGAAAAAAGTTCTAGTAGTTAAGCAGTAAACTAAGTTAGTAATATTATTTAATTTTAAAAATATTTAAATAAATTAAGGTGTTTAGTGAGGTAACTAAATAATTTAGTTAATTAAGTGTTAGGGTGCTATAAGTAATTAAAGAATTAATTAAATTAGTAATATTATATAATATTTTTTAAAATTAATTAAGGGTTTAAGGAATTAATTACAAAATTTAACTAATTCTGAAAAATCATGTATTAGTGATTAATAAATTCAAAATATATAAGTAAATTTAGTAAAATTTAAAAGTATTTACATCAATTAAAGGTTTCTTAAATTAATTAAATAACTTAACTAATCGAATGAAAAAATGTTTCAGTAGTTAAGCAATTAAATAATTCTAGTATTTAGTTGGATTTTATTTTTGATTGATGTTTGTGTTAATATCTGATAATAGACAACATCATATGTATGTTATAATATTTTTCTCAACATGGAACGATATAGGAGTAGGATATATTCCCAAGTCAATTCAAGTGAATTTTTTAGGACATAATTTGTGAATGGTGTAGATGAATTTATTTCAGTTGGGTTTAGGCAACCAAGATACATGACTAAGAATAAGATCAAATATCCTTACTCTCGATGTATGAATAGCAAGTTCTTGATTGCTAATAAGGTTTAGAAACACCTATTTCGTAAAAGGTTTACCAATGCGTACACAATATGGGATGCACATGGCGAATTGTTCCATGTTGGCCAATGATCGGGGCATTTTATTGGTGAGCAGAACGAAGTTGTTAATGAACTCAAAGTAGAAAAACCTTATGCTGAAATGATTATGGATGCTTTATGATCAGAGTTTCCATTAAATGATGAGACTTGAGATGAACCAGGCTTTCCTAAAGATCCAAATTCAAACACTGCAACGTTCTTTTCATTGTTAAATGATGCTGATGCAGCTTTATGGGTTGGATGCAAAAAGCACACAAAACTATTAGCTATGTCCCACTTACTGAATGTGAAGTCAAAATTTAACATGAGTGAGCATGCTTTAATCATCTGATGTTGCTAGTGAAGGAGATGTTGCCATTCGATGAAGCATTACCGACAAACTTTTATAAAATGAAGACACAGTTGAAGGAACTTGAGCTTGGCTATCAAAAAATTCATGCATGTAAGAATTATTGTGTGTTGTTTTATAACGAATATTTCGAGTTGTCTTATTATTCATCTTGTGATCATATTTGATATAAAAAAATTAAATCAAGGGAAGGAAAGGAGAAAAAATTCCTTTTAAGATTTTGCAATACTTTTTACTAACATCGAGATAACAGAGGTTATATATGTTAAGGAAAACTGCAAAACACATGACATGGCATGCCACACACTGATATTATGATGAAGTGCTAAGGCATTCTATTGATAGTAAGGCATAGCAACATTTTAATCATACCCATCAATCTTTTGCCTTTAAGCCTAGCAATGTTAGACTCGGTTTATATTCAAATAGTTTTAGTCCATTCGGGTGGACATCGAATTTGTATTATGTTTGGCCTGTAATGGCCATTGTCTATAACTTACCTCTGTACATATGCACGAAACAACTATACATCTTTCTGAATATGATTATCTTAGGGAGGATAAGTTTCGAACAGAATATTGATGTGTTCTTCTAACTATTGATAGATGAGTTAAAAGTTCTATGGGACAAAAGGACGGACCTGTACAATGCCTTTACTTGCCATAATTTTATTCTAAGGGCAACATTCCTATGGACCATTAACGACTTCCTTGCATATGGTATATTGTTTGGGTGGAGCACTCATGGATGTCAATCATCTCCATATTGCAAGGAACAAGGAAAGAGTTTCTTTTTGGAGTATGGGATGAAGGTTATTTTTTTTATTGTCATCAATCATTTTTGCCGATGGATCATCATTTTCATTGCCAAATAGATAACTTTAAGAAAAGTGTTAAATAAGACCCTTTAATTCTTCTATTATCCGATGCAGAAATCTTGGAACAATTAGAGTCAATCCCAAATATCACGTGTGGGACAAAAGTAGGCAATCAAAAGTTACCAAGTTTTGATAAAACCCATAATTGGACTAAGAAAAACATATTTTGAGAATTACTATATTGGCAAACGAATCTCAATTGTCACAATTTGGATGTAATGTATACTAAGCATAACTTATTTGAAAATATATCAACACAGTGATGGATGTTCCGGTGAAGACAAAAAACAATATCAAGGGTTGTCGTGATTTTGAGGTGTGTTACAGGTGTTTGGATGATGCTATTGCATCCAACAACATGTCGCAGGCTAGGGGTGGATGGTTGAGTCTCGACTTGCTAACATAAACCCATTTGTATCGATGGATACTTCTGCATCTTCTTAGAGGAAAGTAATTTGAGGAAATTGTGAGAAACTGTCCTCCGCATAAGGTGATTTCAAAAATAGCATCTCACATAAACTTATCTGTTTTTAGTCATTGAGAAGTATGAGTAGACCAAAATACCCTTAAAAACATCGTGGAAAAAAATTCCTAATATCTCCTTCCCGTCAAAGAGAAAATAAAAATAAAAACTCAGCTGTTTGAGGTCGTTCATCTTTCTCTCTCAGCTCTGTGAACTATATCGACTCTGTTAACTCTCTATTAAGCACCATTGTCATCAAGTTGCTCAACTCTCTGAACTGTATGAGCTCTGTCAACTATCTGTTGAGCACCATCGTCATCGTGCTGTGGTCTATCTCTCGACATTTGACCATATTGTCATCAATAAACAGACCCTATAGCAGAGATGACATCAAGTATGTTATTGGGTTTATTGCTACAACAAATAAATTTTTGAAACTTGTGTAAATTAGAACATGGATTTCAAACACTGCCAGATTTGTTACACGCCATGCATCCATAAAGCAGATGGAGTGTAACATAGTTGTAAACTGGCGTGTAATAACATGACATGTAATGCATAAAATGATTGACAAATTTGATGTTTTCAAAACTGCAGTGGGGTTCCAATTGTGTGACTTGTGATAAGACATGGTGGTTAGTGGGTGGATGGCATTTACAAGGGTGGTGACTCACGAATATGAGGAGTTAGGAGTGATTTGTCGTTTGAGGGCTTGAAGAAGTTGGTTGAAGAAGTTGTTAGGGTAAAATCATAAATGGACGAGATTGAGTTACATGCATTGATTAGTACACCCGGAGAGCTATCACGCTCAATTATCAAGGACGATGAGGATGTTACATTAATTCTGCTAGAACAAAGGAATGTTTCGGCTGTGTATGTCAGCATTAAGGGACGCCAAAGAAATGTTATGTCACATAAAGGAGCTTAACAACATGGTAATCAGCTCAATCAAAATGAGATTTACAATGTTTCAAACATACTACTGCATTCGGTCCATAACCCACAACAATGGCAATTGATGTATGCAGAAGAGTTTGTGCTGCCTGATAAAGAGACGACATTCACAGAACAGTTGGCTGCACAATTCTGATCAGGATGTGCATCAAACCAATTACTTGCTTCTAGTCAACCAATGCAACGATCGAGTGAAACTATAGAGGGTGTAATGGCATTTTTAAATGAGAATATCAGACTTGAGAACAACACTACAACGTTGGAGGGTGACATTGCGACGCTCGAGGATAATACTACATCTAATGAGGGAAATGAGGATTTGTTCCCTGCCGGTGAAGATAAATTTGATGACAATTCAGATGATGGGATTGATGGCAGTTTAGACAATGACTGGCTTTATGATAGTAACATTCCAATTAGAAATAATGTCGAAGACGAAACAGATCCTGTTGGAGGTGTTGATGTAGGGATGTATGTTGTGATGACCCCATATACAATAACCCCATCGCTGGTGAGACCGGGATTTGTTCCCCTGATACATTGCTGGATGACAGTTATCAGGATACGAAAAATAGAGGGATATGTAGTACGTGGGTAATTCCAAGTGCAGAGAGGTTCTCCTTCCAAATAGTTACCACTGAGGAGTTGAGATGTGCTGATGATCACATATACAAAGGAAGAATGTTTTCCTCAAAGGCTGAGTTGAAACGAGCTTTGAATATATTCGCTCTAAAAGAGCATTTTGGGATAAGAGTAAAAAGGTCATGTAAAGGTCGTTATGAGATTGGTTGCAAGGACAAGGCATGCAAGTTCGATGTGCGTGCATCGAAATTACTTGAAGGAGAATATTGGCAAGTTTGGACATTTCACAAAGTACACACGTGTACTGTCGATGGTTTGCAAGGGCGATTCCCCACGGCGAGTGCGAAGATAATCGGTGAACTTCTGTCACACAAGCTTCAAGCTAGTGGAGTAGCATTGAGACCTAAGGACATAATTGATGAGATGAGGGTGCAGTGGGGATTGGAATGCTTGTATGGTAAGGCATGGCAAGCGAAGGAGTATGCGAAAATGCTTGTTTTTGGTCCCCCGGAGGAGTCATTTCAACTATTACCTTCGTACTTTTATATGTTGGAAAAAGAAAATCCTGACACAGTCATTGCAGTGACTACTGATGAGGCAAAAAGATTCAAATATTGTTTCTGGTCGTATAGGGCTTATATTCGGGGGTTTAGGGATGTAATGCATCTTACGGTTGTAATTGATGCGACACATTTGAAAGGCAGGTTCAAGGGTGTTCTGTTTGTCGTTGTATGCAACAACGAGAACGAGTGCGTATATCCAGTTGCATTTGGTATCGACCATGTTGAGGACAAATACTCATGGACGTGGTTTCTTAGCAAGCTGCGTGATGCGATTGGTTGTCTTGAGAACACTATCTTCATTTCTGATCAACATCTCGGCATTAAAAAAGTAATCCGAAATGCATACCCAGAAGTGCACCACGGTTTATGTGGTTACCACTTGAAGAAAAACTTCAAGAACAATTTCAAGCGCGACGACCTTTCTATGATTTTCACCCTTGCTCAAGATTGCTATAAGGTATCCGATTTCAACAGACATATGAACCATATCCAGTAGATTCACGTGGGAGCCCACATTGACCTTATGAGAATAGGCCCTGAGAGATGGGCACGTGCACATTCACCAGCTAGGCGATACTAACTCATGACATCCAACATTGCAGAATGTGTTAACTCATGCTTGAAGCATGAAAGACAAATGCCAATCACTGTTTTGATCGAGTTCATTAGAGACATGTTCTAGCATTGGTACCATGATCGGTACGAGGAGGCCATCAAGGTGACCACACCCCTCAGCCCTTAGGTTGCCAGGCAATTGAGTAAATGGTTCAATGATGCACATCACTTTGTAGTTAAACCTATCAACTGATTGAAGTTTAAAGTTAAAGATGGGAATATGGATGGACTTGTAAACCTGTTGAAGAAGACGTGTTCGTGTTGTAAGTTCCAAACAGATTTACTCCCATGCAGCCATGCCGTTGCAGCAATAAGGTCAAAATATCTTTTTGCTCTTTTTTTTATTTGAACCCTAATTGGCATAGCATTTATAGTGTGCTTAAATATTGAGTTTATTGTATTTTTTAATAAATACAAACATGAAGCCGTTGAATTCTACGCTGACTACTACAAGACAACTGTTTTGGTTGAGGGTTATGTAAGGTCTATTCGGCCGGTAGGCCATCTTAGTGAGTGGGACATCCCCCCTCATGTTAAACAAATTGTGGTGTTGCCACCAGCTTGCCAATGCCAAGCTGGAAGACCTAATAAGCGTAGTATCTTCATAATTGATAAAGTTGTAAATAAACTTACGAAGAATATCGTATCAACGACGCATGCACGAGCCTTGTACATTCTCGACTTTGGCCCTGTCATTCGCTTACAGAGTACGTTGAGGCATGCGTCTATTTGTTCACTTATCATCTCCTCTTTCGGGTCTTGTAATGTTCGAAATAAGTCGGGCCCTTAGTCCCCTATGATCCCGACGTTATGCCTGTACGTGTAACAGAATGAATTTCAAAATGATTGATGGATTAATGTCCCATACGAAAACAATATTTGCAATATTATTTATCAGCTTACCTCGCACACTCGTCTTTCTTAAACGCTTTGTACCCTTCCACCATTGACGTCTTAACCTCCCGTCGACTCATTTACGGGTCCACATACAGGCTTGCCACGTATTTGCTGACCTATTTCACCCGTGCCCGTTCAATGGGTCTAACATCTAAGCTAGCCGATGCTCGACACCAAACACATCTGGTGACGACACTCGTGATGCGCTGCCTTCGTGAGTCATCTGTTGAAGATGGTCCCCTTCAGCCTCAACTAATACAAGGTTGCCTTCAGTCTCAACTGAGTGAAAGTCCCCCTCTCCTCCAATAGATGCATCAATATCCGAATCGACTGTAGCAACATTCTATCCGCTGGCAGCAACATTCTCTGCATCATCACCAATGCCATGGTGCATGTGGACACCAGGCTGATAGTGCTGCTGATCATCAGCACTGTCGTGGTCGTCACCATCAACGTGTGATGAAGCATCGCCCTACAGAAAGAGTCAAATAGGAAAATCCGTTAGCTCCAAAAATACCATTAACCATAAACAGGTAATAAAATATTAGACTACACATGCTGAAGGTACATCAATTTTATATGAGCAAAGATAGAATAACATACTTGTGATTTCAGGCTGTCTAGAATCTGATGAACGATACGGTCCTCCATGCTCTGCATTGTGAGAGTCAATGTCTAAACTGAAGCCTTCAGCTCTGACATCTCTTTTTCATGCCTGCGCATGACCCATCACAACTCACATATCGTGACAACTCCGGCATTGACTCTTCTCGCATGGGTGAACTACAAGACCATATACTGTTATTATTGTGTTAATAAATATCATTGAACATTGACTGTTATAATTTTAATTTCCATACCGGAGGGTCATTTCGACTGTGTGGTTGGGCTAAACCGCTCAGTTGTTCAGGACTTGTCGTTGCCTCTGTCAACTACAATAACAGATATAACTCTGTTACTCGCTAAACACATATAGAAATGGTGAACTCAAACTGTTAGAATCGATTTTACCGATGGCTCGTTAGCACTGTGCATTTAAGGAGGACCTCTTGGTGGTTGTGGAGCTGTCGTCGCTTCGGCCACCTGCGAACATAGAAGGTTAGTCGCTAAACACCTATCGGATTGTTGAACAAAAATCGGTAGAACCATCCTTATCGGCTGTTCATTGCCATTACCATGGTGGTCCCTTTCCTCCATACACTCGGCGCTCGACAGCTCATCAACTCTAACAGCGGCAGTGCGCCTCCACTTCATGCCACCAATGGATCTTTTCTGCTTCAAGTTCCTTCTCTTTTCCCTAGCACCTAAGCCCCAATCTGACCGATCTTCCAACCTCCCGATTGGCACGTATTGGTGGCCCTAGGATAATGGCACATCGATGTCAACAAAATAATCCCGTCTGGCCTCCTTCGGGGTTGGCTCCAATGTCTCGATAGCCCAAAACTGCAAAATACGAGTTTTCATTAAATTTTACAGAAAATGAGTTTACAAATTCACAGCAGAAATTAGTTGTTGTTCACTCACCTGCTCAGATGACTCCAATTGCTGAACTGTCTTGTAGAAGTCTGTTGGCTTCTGATTGCACTGCCATTTACACATCCGTGGGTAAACGTTTTCCTTCGGACCAGATGGGGCAATTATTTGTTGCAAGGCCAGGATTGCCTCCATTGCCCAAAACTACATGTCAAAAATAACGATGATCAAATCGTAAATGCTGAACAAGTGCAACCATGTTAGAAGGAAAATGTTAAATGTTACATGACAGTACCTAAATAACCCACGTAAATCCATAATGTTGTACCATAAATGAGTATCCTTCTACGAGCTTGTG